GGATTGCAGCTCCGCCCCCTTATGTCCAAATCGCACCTTGCTGGAGTGCAGCTCCTCCTCCTTTTTTTCGTAATGTCCCAAATTTTTCAGAGTGAACAGTTTAATAAAAGGTCAATTTTGCACTAAAAGGAATGTTTTGTCCTCAGCTTTAATGACAATTTTCTTTAGCAGCTCTGACCAGACAATTATTCCTTGAGTGGATGAGACATTCCTACATGACACCTTGATTTCTGTCTCATGTATTTTGTAGTTTTTACTTATTTCGCTTACCGTACCACAGCCAAAACTTTACTTACCGGCAGGGGCAAAGCACCAAACTGTAACAGTGTAATTACAGAGGAATTCAAAAGAGAAATACAAAAAAGTAAACTAAAGTACAATGTAAACAGCTAAAAATCACCAAGCTAAGCATGCCTCATCAGTCATACTGTGGTTAAATGAGGATATTACACTTTGCTGGGAAATGATCTAAAAACACTGTCTATTACATTAACTGTTAATAAGATGCTTACTAGCTTCATGGAATCAGGTCCTGCTTTGTTATCTGGTCGTGCTCGTTATGAATGACTGCTAACTGGCCAGTTTACAAGCTAACTTACGTTACTGCAATGTACTGTTTAGTACTTTAGGGTCACCTGCTTTATGAATGAAACCCGTCAGCATGGAGCACTGCAGTATAACTGTACAGCTGCAGTGGGACAGCAGGAAACAGGCAGACAAGCAGATAAAGCAGAACTTATCATGCACATTATTATATATTTATGTAACAGCAACAGGAATTAAAATTAGAAACGAAAATCAAATTATTCCCGGGGCTTATGGAGGCCCCCACCCAGACAGGGCCCTGGTTAGTCAGGTCCCCCATTACCTGCAGTCCAATGCCCCTGTTTACTAGATAAATTCTAGGTATGACGTGTTTAAGAAGCAAACTGTGAATAACTTGACATTTTTATTCATTTTTATAGGGACATTACGAACGAATAAGTAAGAATATTACTTGTAGTGATAAGCCGAGTACTGTTTAACCACACGATTTGTGCAATACCCATATCAAACAAAAATAACTTTTTGATCACATTTGTTAATTTTGTATCGCTTTGAAGTGGTAAAAAAACACAATGAACATACTGCATTGTTAAGACTGTGATTATAAATACATATGATAACTAATAAACTAATGTACAGAGCGGCTAATTGAGGAAACCGCCCCCCCCCCCCACTCTATATCTGTCAGGGCTCCCCCTCCTCTCTGATTCTGATTACACTCCTCGTTGCAGTATCAGTGTAGCACAGACACGGCCTTCGCTATCCGCTCCTCGTTGCAGTGTCAGTGTAGCACAGACATGGCCTTCGCTATCCGCTCCTCGTTGCAGTGTCAGTGTAGCACAGACATGGCCTTCGCTATCCGCTCCTCAGAGCCTTGCAGAAAGTCTCCCCAGTTTCTGCTCCCCACTGAGGCTTCATATACCATACCTGCAGTTCCCAGCATGCCCCACCAGATCCAGATGGGGCCACTTCCTGCCACATTATGGAGCCTCCGTGCTGCTTTAATAAGCGATGGGATGTCAGAACCCTCCCCCCCCACTCCCGTGTAATGAAATCCCGCTAATGACAGCCCCGTGGACTTGTTCCTGTTTGGAAATGCAGTGTGTAGATCTGTGTCTGAACAGACTGAATCCCTGAATGGGGCAGCCTCTCGTGGACTTGATGGTTGCCAGGTTACGAGCGTCATATGAATGAAGGCCCTGTTCATTCATTCATTCTTCGCCATGTCGGCTTCATTCTTGAGACTTTTGCCCCCAAATGGTGAAGCGCAGTAACCAGCCATTAATTGCCCAGCGTGAGAAATGTCAGGGTGGTGGTCCAGTCCCCGTGCAGGACCCTTACGCACATTCACCACGGATTCAGCTTCACCCTGGTCAAATTCAGTGGCTTGTTTGACATGGAAAATGAATGCTAATGCTAATGCAGTGAATGCTAATGCTAACACAATGAATGCTAAACAAGTATTTTCACCATAATCCATTGAGGAAATAGTCAGGGGTGAGGTGAACAGGACGGGGTGGGATACAGGGGTGGGGAGCCTGGGTCTTTGTTTGCAAAAAACAACAGGACTCTATTGGGACAGGGTGGACCACAGTTGACCAAGTACTGACACAGCAAAATAACTGGATAAGAAAGACAGCAGGATGGGGACAAGAGAGCTCAAATTTCAAGGTGACCCAGGTCGTGGTTTGCCTGTGTTACAGACTGTAAAATACACAACAATTCACAACACACAGAATTAAGGGCAGCGGGAATCAATCAGCACACAGTATGATGGTCACCTGATTTCTCACGCCTTAATAATAAGTCATAGATCTCTCATTTGCTGCACAGGGTTTGACAGTCTGAAGAACGTCTTTATTTAGAGAAGAAAACGCTGCCTTAGTTCCACCAAAAAAAATATCAATCTTCATTTTAGGCAAAATCTGTCTCTTCATGGGATCAATGAGTTTCAAAATTACAGTACATTTAGCATGACCTTCAGAACCGCAATACTCTTAGAACAGCTATCTTTTTCTGGGCCTCTCACGAAGCTATTATCATGTTCAAGATATCTCCAAGGCTGCATCAGTCCACATCTTCTGCCATTTGTCAGCATTGTGAGAGTACTTCAAAGTTTGTGTGAAAATTGAGGTGTACAATTTATTTTTTTTTTCAATCAAGCCAGGTTGGACAGCAGTACAAAGAACCCCCAGAAAGGTATTTCAGAGTCACCACTAACTTGTAACATTCCCTCTATTTATATTTGCCTAGTGTTCTGGAAGCTTCTGTTCCTAGCTAAATTAATATTTCTGTCACCTAGAACTTTGGTATTGACACTATGTCCTCCCTCTGTTCTGTGTGTGTGTGTGTGTGTGTGTGTGTGTGGACGTGCATGCATGATAAGAGTGTAATTTGAATTTAGTTTGTGGAAGGACGTGAGATAAAATATCTTTGTATGTTTAAGTTTTGTTAGACATCTGCTGGTCACGAGAAGCAGAGAATCACATTCTTTGTGTTTTTACAGGTGTTTGTGGCAGCTAATTTTATTTTAGAAAGTTCCATTTGTATGGGCTTCTTGATCCAGTACCAGCCTGTCCTGATAAAGAGCCAACTACCTTAGTTTATATGCTCATTGAGTCCCCATCTTTCAAAGGCCAAGCTAACATTATCTACTAGTCCATAACTAGTAAGACACCCTGTCACATGCGGTTCATCTCATATGCTCTGTCACTTATTGAGATTACCCGGAAGAATTGGAAAACGAAAGTCTGCGCCAATATAGAGAAATGTGTACAGATTGACCTGAGTCATGTTCTCTGAGATCCATCCCTCGTTCATTGCCATGTATCCGGTACAGCGTCGCTGTGAGCCTGGAGACTGTCCCAGGAAACGTGGGGCGTGACGCCAAGGACACCCTGTATGGGATGCCAGTCAGTTGCAGCAAACACACAGAATCACACATCGAGGGTAATTTGGAGACACAGATTCAGCAAAACCGGCTGGTTTTAGGCGTAGGTGGTTCCTGATATACCTGGACAAGATGTGCAAACATGGGGTGAACATACAAGTTCCACACGCATAATCAGACCCATAAACCTCAATGCATGAGGCTACAGTGCTATCGACTGAGCCAGCGTGCTGCCCATGTTGTTGGTGGGTTAAACCTCTGTGCTTGTTACTGCAAGGTAGTTTGTTCGGGTCCCGGCTTCGGCAGAACAATCGCATCTCTGTTGGGCCCTTGAACAAGGCTCTTAAGCCCCCTAAATTTCATTCAAGACGGTTTATATACACTAGATGGACAGAAGTATTGGGACACCTGGCCATTACACGTACTGTACTGGAACTTTTATGACATCATATTCTAAATCCATAGGCATCAGTATGGAGTTGCCACCTCCCTTTACAGCTACAACAGCTGCCACTCTTCTGGGAAGGCTGTCTACAAGATTTTGGAGTGTGTCTGTGGGAATGTTCATCCAAAGGAACATTTCTGAGGTCAGGTTCTTATGTTGGATGTAAAGGCCTGGCTCACAATATCCATCCTAGTTCATCCCAAAGGTGTTCGTTGGGGTGGAGGTCAGGGTTCTGTGTGGGCCAGTCAAGTTCTTCCACACCAAACTCACTCAACCGTGTCTTTATGAACCTTGCTTTGTGTACTGGGGCACAGGCATGCTGGAATGGAAGACAGCCTTCCCCAAACTGTTCCCACAAAGTTGGAAGCATAGAATTGTCCAAAATGTCTTGACATGCTGAAGCACTGAGTTCCCTTCACTGGAACTAAGGGGCCTAACCCAACCCCTGAGAAGCCCCAGACCATGATCCCAGTGAACCGTCACTCTAAAGAGCTGGTTTCCGCTGCTCCAGAGTCCGGTGGCGGCGTACTTTACGCCACTCCATCCGACGCTTCGCATTGCGCTTGGTGATGTGAGGCTTGCATGCAGCTGCTCGGCTATGGAAGCCCGTTCCATGACGCTCCCAGTGGTTGTGCTGGGGTTAATGCCAGAGGAAGTTTGAAACTCTGCAGTTACTGAGTCAACAGAGTGTTGGCAACTTTTACGCACTATGCACCTCAGCACTCGGGGACCCTGCTCTGTTACTTGATGTAGTTTCTGTTTCTGTTTCTTCCTAAATGCTTCCACTTTGCAATAATTCTAACAGGGAAGAAATTTTACAAAGTGACTTATTGCAAAGGTGACATCCCTATGAAAGTACCACGCTTGAATTCACTGAGCTCTTCAGAACAACCCATTCTTTCACAAATGAGACCTGTGGCGATGGGTCTGAATGAAACACGTGAGTTCAATGATTAAGAGGTGTGTCCCCAAGCTTTTGTTCATATAGTGTGTGCGTGTATGTCTCAAATGGAGAACAAGATAGCATGTGCTAAAAGAAGCAGGATTAGACTTTCCTGCACCGACAATGAAATTTTATTGGCAGAGTGTCCAGGGGAATATGTTAATATTATTATATGATATTATAATATTAATATGCTGCATTTTCACCATTCTTCTTTCTATCCCCAGAGCCCATTGCTGGCACCTGATTGGTCATCTTCCACTCTGCCCCTACCAGTCCGAGCGGTCACAGGCATAAAGCATGAAGGGCCTCTCGAGCAGCCGGAGCCACCCCCATGGGATGGCCTGTGAGGCGGCTTACGACTCCATGTCGCGCCGCACTGGCCGCCCGGCCTACCTGCTGAGCTCTGATGAGACGCACCCCGCCGACCACCCCTACTACACCCAACGCAACTCCTTCCATACTGACTATGCGGCGCCCTACAGTGAGATGGTCTGCAGCACCTTTCCCCGGAGACACTATAGCTCTCACCATGAGATGAAGGCTGAGTGCCAGGCGGTGGTTCCATTCCCCGGCGGTTCCGGCAAAGGGGGCCGTGCCGTCTCCCACAACCTGTTGGATCAGTTTGAGAGAAGGTTGCCGGCCGCTCGTGATGGCTTCCACACACTGCAGTATAAGCGTACAGCTGCAGTGGAACAGCGCAGTGATAGCCCAGGTCGCATCCGGCACCTGGTACACTCAGTTCAGCGGCTCTTCACCAAGTCCCAGTCCCTGGAAGGACCCGGAAAAGGCGGAGTCAACAGCGGCAAGGCTGGGCCGGATGAGGCGCCGGCTCCTCGTCAAGGCAAGCGCAGCAAGAGCCGGGACCGCTGCAAGACGACGGCAGACCCCCAAACGCGAACCGCTATCTCAGGCTACTGGAGCTCTGATGACAACCTGGACAGAGATGTCCGCCTGTACCGCAGCCCCTCTGGCGCCATGACAATGGGCCGGCGGCCCGACAAGTCCCAGTCGCATTACTACCTGGAGACCTACAACACCATGGGTGACCGCACCCTCAAGACATCGCGCAGCAACAACGACGTTAAGTGCTCTGCCTGTGCCAGCATGCCTGTCAACCTGGACACACCACTGGTGAAAAAGAGCTCCTGGTCCTCCATGCTCACCGTCAGCAGGGCCCGCGAGGTTTATCAGAAGGCCTCCGTCAATGTTGACAAGGCCCTGGTGAAGTCTGAGACATGTAAGCAGGAGCGGTCGTGCCAGTTTCTACAGGTAGGCATGGTTGAGCTCCATACTTTAACTGCATGCTAGGTAGTAGCTCCTTTTCTGTCTTTTACACATCCTTAGGGTTCCGTGTTAGCATTAGCACCGTAGCTTGCATGCCAAACAGTACAGGGTTTGGTGTCATTCACGGGTCCTCAATGCTCTGTGTTAGCATTAGCATCGTCGCTCGCATGCCGAACAGTAGCGGATTCGCCGTCATTCATGTGTCCTCAGGGCTGTGCTCTAGCATTAGCATGGAGGGTATGTTGCTAAACAGTAGTAGGCTTGCTCTCTTGCACATGTCCTCAGGGTTCTGCATTAGCTTTAGTGCGGAGGGAATGACGCTAAGCAATAGTGGATTTGCTCTCTCTCATGTGTCCTCAGGGTCCCGTGTTAGCATTAGCATGGATGGGAAGATGCTAATTAGCAATGGGTTTGCTATTTTTCTCATGACCTCAAGGACTCGGAATTAGCATTAGCATGGAGGGGGAGATGCTAATCAGTAATGAGTTCGCTCTCTTTCGTGTCCTCAAGGACTGAGCATTAGTATGGAGGGGATGACAATGAACAGTAGCGAGTTAGCCGTCTTTCATGTGTCTTCGGGGCCCTGAGTTGGCATTAGCATCATCTTGTTGTGCCCTGGTCGACAAGTTGTACTTTCTTGTTCCTCCCTGAGTGTGTTTGTATGTATAACAAAGGTAACATCCTTTTGTTTTGTGATTATATTTAGTGCTCTTTCTTGAAATTAATAGATGGCATAGAAGAGAGTGTATACACCGATCACAGACCTGACTTACTTAGATCATATATAGGCACAGAGTTTTTTTTCCCAGCAAGCTCAGTCCGCTTTAGAAAGTCACTCTGTTGCATGTCTTCACTTTTCCTGCGTCATGCAAAATTAGACCAAAAGCAACAATCATTCCTTTGCCATGTGAGCTGCCCCCAGCTTCGACCTGCAGGATTGCCAGGGGAAAATCGGAGCTGTATACGCACAAGCTGAATTCCCAGACCTGGCCCTGTCCAGACAAGGCCGAAAACAGGGCCAGCTTGTAGCCGAATCCCAGCATGATATACCGTAACAGCAAGCTAATGTGCCTTTTCCCAATCTGGAGTCATGCCACGCTCTTGCTTTGCCTAGTCTTAAAGCGACAGTACCACCATTAAACCCCATCCTCCTCAGGAATGCTAATTCAGACAGGAGGATGGTGGGTAGGTAATGAGGTGGAAGTGGGGTCGACCATTTGTTGGATTTATGGATTAATTTGTAATCAATCACATTGTATATTATTGCAGTGCCAACTGTTCTCTACAGCTATCTGGATCAAATATCCTAGCCGCACGCAAAAGAATTTTCCAGAAACACTATGTGTGAAGCCATTCTCAGAGACCCGCTGGGCGCTCAGCATTCTGGCCACACCTTTAAGGACGTAACCTCAGTCGAACCTTGAACACTTTGTTAGCACTTCTGTGACTCCGCAAAGGGCAGAGAGTCTGGTCAGAAACGGAGTTCAGGGACTCGTATGAAGAGTGAGGACAAGCAGGGGGACAGCAGGGAGCTTTTGGCAGCTAAAGAGACAGTCAGGAGAAGTGGGCAGCCATGGTATCAAAACAGGAATGCATAACCTACCAAAGGCATTCTTCAGACTGACCTTGGGTTCCATGGCTGCTTATCCGGAGCCTGGGGTAAGGGTGTGCATCCTGTAAAGAGTACCAAAACTCAGAGGTGCTGCCCTCCAAAGGATGGGTGGACTCCTTACATTTAATTGTCATCTGAATTAAAACATATGTAATTTAAAATTAAAGTGCTGATCAGTCTGATCAGAAACATGCTGTATCTGAGGAAGGGATTACCCATATTAACACCACATGTCTCAAACGTACAGCATTTTATTTTAAAAATGTAGGAGAAGGCATCAGGATTTGAAAACCAATCAAGTGCAGAATATCTAAGTTTAACCAAACAAAAATTAGTTGTAGATCACATGACATACAGTACTTTTACTAGAAATACCAATATTACTTTAGTTTGAATAGTTTTTCATTTGTGCCTCCGTATTACATTTATAGATCTGTATTGGCTTGATGTTAGCATTGCAGTAGACATGGTGTATTTAGCGTTGTGTATGGGGGGGTTATGTTTGGGTAACATAGCTAAACTTTTTTCCCTGTGACCCTACAGGACCTTGTGGGGTCAGGATATTTGGGTGGGGAGTCAGGGCATGGAAGCTTGCAGAAAGCCCACCATGCTATATCCTGGGGAACATGGGGAACACGTGGGGTAAAACCACCATAAATAAGCTGTGTGGAGAAAACATGGGTTTTGACACCAGTTAACCCCCTAAAAGCCTTTTAGATCAGTAACTCCCAAGGCAGTTCTCAGGGACCCCCAGACAGTCAAGAATTTTGCTCTCTCCTAGCTCCCAGCGAACTCATACCATGTCTTTGATGTTCCTGATTGGCTGAGAGCTGTGAGGAAGCAAAAATGTGTACTGTCTGGGGGTTTCCGAGGACCGGGTTGGGAATCATTGTTTTAGATCTGTCCCTCGGAGACAAACCAGCGACAGTGAGAGGTTTAGCTGGAAAGCAAAGCATCGCTAAAACAGGCTTCAGTCTAGACAGGGAAGCGCTTCTGAATCCAGCATCTCGCCTCCAACCGTAATTTTCATGTCTGCTCCAGTCTCTGAAGTCCTTCAGTGAAACTCTCCACTCTCTGCTGCGAATATCAATAGCCTGCGTGGGAAAGCGGCGAGCGGGGAGTCGTCCGCGTCAAGTCGGCAAAGAGATCTCAACAAATATGGCTGGGAGAGCAGTGTAGCTGTTCTGCAGTCTGGTTGACCTCGAAGGCATTGGCCTCGTCATCGTCCGTTAATAGCAGGAAGCGGTTGGTTTATCTGCCCTTGTTCATACTACTCTCCGAATCCTCTGCCCCATCTTCTAGTAAACAGCTAACGACTGAGTCATTGATTTCATCACAGATTTCAGACGGTTACATCCACAGGGTCTTCGCGTTTATCACCCACAAGCCGTGACAGCCCGTTACTACGGTACCTGTCATCTCAAACGCCATTCTTTGAGTAGCGACCATCAATTAGGCTCCCGATCGGCACGCTCTACGGGGACCTTCTGTGTTTTCAAACGAAACGCAGGTCCCAGGCCTTATGGAACGTGTCCACCTGCAGACAGCGGGGGTTGCGACAGCCGTTAGCTCTCCACTACATTTTGACTTTGGTAGACTTTGCCGCCATCTGCTATCAGGCACATAATTAGAAGCCCTTGTCCGGTGGCCCTTCACCTGTGCCTCTCGGCTGACCGCGGTATGCCTGCGTCACATGCTAGCGACTGTAGAGAGGACAGCGCTCAACGATTCGGCCTAATTAAGATCTGAAGTGAGGTGCTTTACCTCTAAAAGCCCTCAAAGGCCATTCAGTGGATAAACGCAAGCCACCCGAAAAGCAGATGTTCTCACTGTGCTTGATTTGTGCGGATTCTGTCGTAAATGATTATTGCGCTGAAAGAACATGAGGAGAACATCGCAGGAATTCTGACTGTCAGGGTGCCTCCCGTCTTTCGAAAAGCGTTAGCACCTGAAACAAATTAACAGCGATCCAAGACGCACTGATGAGTAATGTTTTATCATAAATGTTTATCATTTTAAAAATGCAAGCTAAGCGCTTCAATGAATAAGTAATGGGCCCAATTAATTATGTATTATCTTCATTATCTGGAGCAGTTAGCATTGTGTTACCCGTGCTTTTTCGTGTATATCTACAGGATGTCTCTCTTTCATGTAAGAAAAGCCTCATTGTTTTAATTAGCTTTAAGCGGCAAAGTCTCAGTAGCCCTTGGGTTTGCCCCCAAGGCATTGGTCACCTGTCATGATGAGTGCACCCATTGGTCACCTGTCATGATGAGTGCACCCAGGTAGGGGGCGCCAGTGTCCTCCTCTTGCTATTGGCTCCAGGCGGTTCCAAGCTCATTTCCTCAAGGGCTGTACGAGGCCTAATTTTAATCCTGATGTTTAATTCCGGCGACGACTCTCGTCCATTTACTAATTTATTATCTGTCCCACGTTTACTTATTTCCCCGAGACACTCTATAGTGGAGTACATTATTCCATTAATGCGAAATTTATTTCCATTAATTCCAAAACAGCAGAAATTGTCAGATACTTTATCATTCAGGGGAACATTTGGAAAAACACAGCAGGGGTAATGAGGTCATTAAAGGGGACCATCCACACAGAGCTCGCCTCAACAGCTGGATGTGACCCCTCCGTGCCTGTCAGCGACCCCCCCCCCCCCCCCCCCCCCCCGTCCACATACTGTTCTCAGGGAGCAGGTGATTCCTTATTGACTGTCAGACACACCACCATCAGGGCCCAAGGGAGTTTTAGGGGTAGGGGCGTCATAGGGGTACTGACGCCAGCTGAAAGCTGATTGGCCCTTGACGCGCTGCCTCCCCTGTCACTCACAGATTCACAGCATATCATTGGCTATTGAGAAGGCTGTCCCCTCTGTTTGAATTATGGCCCCTCTTATGCTACGCTAACAGCTACGCTAACAGCGATATAGCTGTGGATGGCAGAGTGTGTGATCCGGCCCTTTTATTATTCAGCTCTGGCTTCAGGACCGCCGGGCTGCCCAGACCCCACTGTACCTCCTGCTGACTCATATGCTTGCTGGCAGTCGTGGGCCCTCTTAGCGTTTAACTCGAACACAAGCCCCGCCTCCATTATCTCACTCGCTCGGAGGTGGATATGCTGAGGGTCAGAATGCAGATGGGAATACTGTATGGATTGGTTTGGCGGGCTGACGGATGTGAGGTGGAAAGGGAGGGAATTACTGGGGCTCTATGTATGAGAGTATATGATTGGGGTGGCTGTCACGGTTGGCATACACCTCCGTGGTTGGGGGTTCGAATCCTACATCTGCTCTGTGTGTATGGAGTTTGTCTGGTTTCCCCATGTTGAGTGGGGTCGAAGTTCCATGTGCCCAGCGATGGAGAGGCATCCGGTCCAGGGTGGACTCCAGCCGTGCTCCCTGTGCTGCCTAAGACAGGCTCCACATGACCCAGGCGAGATAAGCAGTGGATGGATGGATGGATGGATGGACGGTTGGCTGGACGGATGGGTAACATTGACTGAAATGCTGCATGTATTTATGATATGCCATTTTGAACATGCTTCTTTTTGCCATTTATGCCTTGCTAATATTTTTCAGTTGAAATGGCAGTAAAAAATGATGTTTTCAAATAGGTAAAGGTTAATGCTAGATAAGTTGTAAAGAATATGATGTCATACGATGGATGTCTGCTGTGTGCTCGTTGGTCAGTGTTATGGACCACTCAAAAATTAAATTAGTGCTGAATTCATTTTAAGCAGTCCTAAAAATAAAGGCTCAACATCCCCCCCCCCAAAAAAAAACATGGTTGAAATGTTTTAAGGGGCTTTTTCCTACTCTCCTGTCCATCTCTTATCTAATACTCCTCCCCAACTCTCTGCTGACCCCATTTGTCACACTACCAATTAATCCAGTCAGGGTCGGCTGTGTGTCATTAATTTAAGAGGCACGGGGCTGGTGATCAATCACCACGGAAACGCCGGAGACGGGCTCAAACGCAGGGCTGCGCCACTGTCATGCCCCCCGTTGGCTCGCAGTGCAAGATCCACGAGGCACGATTCATATCAATTTGTGCGCCTTCACAATCCTGGGACTGTACTGTGTCACACCTCACCTGGTGACATGAATGGGGCAGGAAGGCGTGGGACACGAAGACAGGCCGGGCCATTCCGCCTGACCTTGATCACCTTAAGCCTTTCGGTATTGTGACAGTGCACATTTTTTCCTGTGCCCTCACTGTCGTTGGAGGAAACAGGAAGTCCCGCCCCCCATGAAAACACAGTAATGCTGCCCTGTAGACCACGAGTGTGAGTGTGTGTCTGTAATGGGGTACGCTGACCTGAGGAGACCCCCCCCCCCTACAGGTTCCCCAGGACGACTGGGGGGGGCTGTCGTCCTTGGGGAAGGATGAGGAAATCCCGTGCCGGCGCATGCGCAGCGGCAGCTACATCAAGGCCATGGCAGACGAGGACAGCGGCGACTCGGACGGCAGCCCCAAGCCGTCGCCCAAGGCCCAGGCGCGGAGGGCCAGCTACCTGAGGGCCACGCAGCCCTCGCTGACCGAGATGACCACGCTGAAGTAAGTCTGCCGCACGTTAAACAAGAAACATACACGGATGTTACCGCGATTACATGTGTAGACCGACAGTAGGGGGCTACGTGGTTAAGGAGTCGCACTGCGAGGATCACTGCTGTACATTTGGATGCACTGGCTCTGACGCTCCATCGCCAGAGGGAAGCTGTCTGGGTGAATTATGTCAGACCATAAACTCTCACGTTGCCGGAAAAGGCAGGTTGATGTTTGACAGGCCCCGGGAGGCCCAGGACCAGCCGGTGCTTAGCCAGGAGGTCTGAAGTAAGCAGAGTGCCCCCCCCCACCCCC